CAAATTATTTTTTGGAACCAAGAGTAAGGCTAAAATACCCATAACCTAGAATGATATTGTTCAAGAAAGATCCATTCATTCAAAGACCCACTCACCCATCCATCCATCCATCCACCAACCCACCCAACCATAAATCCATCCATTAACCCACACACCCACCCACTCACCCACCCATCCATCCATCCGTCCATCCACCAACCCATCCACCCACCCACTCACTCACCTATCCATCCATCCACCCATCCATCCATCCATCTATCCATCCATCCATCCACCAACCCACCCAACCATACATCCATCCATTAACCCACCAACTCACCCATCCATCCATCCATCCATCCATCCACCAACCCATCCACCCAGCCATTTATCCATTCATGCCCCACTCATCCATCCATCCATACACCAACCCACCCAACCATACATCCATCCATTAACCCACCAAGTCACCCATCCATCCATCCACCAACCATCTTACCCATCCATTTATCCATTCATGACCCACTCATTCATCCATCCATACACCAACCCACCCAACCATACATGCATCCATTAACCCACCCACTCACCCATCCATCGATCCATCAATTCATCAATACATCCATCCATTCACCAACCAACTCATCCATCCATACATACATCTATCCATAAACCCATCAACCTATCCATCCACCTATCTATTCACCAACCCACTCATCCATACATCCATCCACCCATCCATCCATCCATCCATCCATCCATCTATATACTAATCTCATGTGAACATTTCCCTATGGGTGCTGTCAGTGCATCTGTATGGTGGTATTGATCTGTCAGGCAACAAATTACAGCTGTCCCTCTTTGACACTTTCTTCTTATTATTATTTCAGCTATTGCTGTGAATACAGCGACTTTATCGACAAGGCGTCCAATAGGAGGCGAGATACACCGCCCACCCTCGTTTTTCTAGCCAAGTCCTTTCTCTCTCTTTTTCTGTGTGTCATATTCTTAAATGTGTAGCACTGACATGGTTTCCCTCGGGTCCTGTGCTCATCTGCAGACATGAGCAGCATCGGCACGTGCCCTCGCTCTGCCTCCCGCCCCCTCTAGTTCAGATTCTTGGCTTTTCTTTCATTTATTTCCTTCAACTAACTTTAAGTCTTCTTTTCTGAGTCTTCATTTCAGATTCTCTTTCCCTTCCACTTCTGGATTTAAACTTTTTCACTTTTAACCTCCTAATTCTCTTGTTCTCATTTCCATCTTCATATTGGATTCCCTTTTCCTGCTGTATTTCTTTTCTTCTTTGCCTTGCTTTTTATTTAGCCTGAGAGCTTGGAATCCAAATTAGAGGAAATACAAGAGAATTAAATAAATAAAAAAAACCTTCCCGTTTTACTTATGAAATTAGTTATTGTTGGGAAAAACTTTTATTGCCTTTTGCATGATATGAATATCATTTTGAAAGATAAGATAAAACATGTGCCATTTGTTTGATGATGATTAAGTTTAGAGCATTAAAATTGCATACAGCATTCATCAAAAGTCAAAAAATGTTTTATCATTGCTACATCTTCTGATTCCAGTCTATGCTGAAAATGAACAAGAAATCCATCTAGTCCACTGCACAACATGGCACAGCTCGTGCTTCATTCTTTACAGCTTCATTTTTTATAAAAAAAGATCTTTATTCTTTACAAAAACGAATGCAGTTAAGTAAATGTAAGTTCTGTAATTCAACACAACACTCTTCGCTTTTTTCTATATTCTAAGTACAATATTAAGTACATAGATTTGCTCTGTGCATGGTCTATCTCTAGTAACAGGCTTCTGATAGCCTTCGGTGTTCCTTCATCACATTAACTAAGCTCCCCGATGTATTCCCAACGTCACCACTGTCCAACTTCCAGTTAAAGAATGTTAGTGAGTGATTTTAGGCAGCAGTCTTCACACATGAGTAAACAAGATACTTTGTTTATCGTACAAGGTTCTGTTTGTTGAGGGATTAGCAGGCAATCGGCTTGCAGGATGCACTGCTATGCCATGCTGGGGCATGCTAATTACTGCTAAACATCGTAAACCAAACTCCCCGGACAGAGGACACATCACATAGCGGCACTAAGCCTAAATCCTTCTCTTCTCTCTGTTTCTCTCCTTTTCTTGTCTTGTCTTCTCTATTCATGCAGCACAAGCTCGTCAGGGTTTTCACAGTTTATCGCCTTCGTCTAATGCACCGCGGCGCACTGGAAATCACAGTCTGGATTCTGTGGTAATGAGATTTAAGGTACATCAAAGTACTGAAAAGAAAAATAGATAAAAAAATTGGAATGAAATACAAATCTCTTTTTTATAACTGACCACATCAGCCTGAAGAATACAATATGAAGGGACCGAAAACAGACTCAGAAGTTTGTAAGATTTCATGTTCATGATTGAGCTCTCCAGCGTTTGTTTATTGAATTCTACCACAAATAGATTGGGAAGAGAAGGATGAAAGTGTTGGTGTGAAAAAATGGGTCAGAAGCAAAGATGTGAAGCATCGCTCATGGGAGGAAATGAGGGATTGAGTCATTGTGTTTAAAACCAATCTCTGACCTCCTTCTGGATGTGTTTTACACCCTCAACATATCCATATTTTAGGCCCACAGCTCAGTCTTTTTGAACTTATATATGGATATGGCAGATGTGTGGAGCAAGATGAGATTTATGGCAAGGCCATTTAACATTTGATGGGCGAACTAATCTCTATCACAAACCATTGGAGCGTTTCCTTTCATATCCATATTTTAAAGGGTCTGTAAACTGGATTTTTTTTACTTGTACTGTTCATGGATAAATTGATTTATGCATAAAACAAATTGTTGAATTGAGTAAATACACATTTATTCTGGCTGTTAAAACACTCTCAGCTTCCTCTCTCCAAGGTATGTCTCCCTGTACACACATACCTGGTTATTTTGAAAACAGGTGCAGTTATGCTGTTAGTGCACATGTAAACACAGCACCATTTTATGTAACCGTGTATTAAAAAGAAAACATTTAGGAATTCAAGTAAAATAGCTTGGAAACAATCCTCTAAATGGTTCAGCCTATGCATTT